TCCCACAACGTAATTTAAAATTGAGACCACAACGAACTATTAATTCCCTCTTACTTGGACTTTTTATGATATGAAATACCAGTTTTATGATGTTTATTATATAGCATTTTATATGTAGGATACCCAGAAATTACATAATAGAACCAAGTGAAGGTCAGAAACAAAGATGTTTGATGAAATATAAGATATATAAGCAAAAGTGTTACTGTCAGAGGAAATGTGTTATTCACTGTAACAAAAGTGTTACTGTCAGGGGAGGTAGGTGAATTGCACATCCTCCGCAAAAAGCCTGAGTCAGCAGTGTCTGCACTGAGATCTGACACTTCCAATACCTGACAATCCCAGGCTAAGCAATTTAAATACTCCTCCTCCTCCTCATTCCAAAACATTCACAGTGTCTTACAAAACATTAAACCTATAATGAAAAAAGCAAAAATATAATGATCAAATGCTATATGTCCTCTCCCAGTCTCTGCATTGATATAATTTCCTCCATAGAAAATTAATCCTTTCTTCTGTTCCTAATGATCATGCCCAGAACATACTGGTCGGTGTACTATGATGTTTCCATAATGAATGGCTGAATTACAGAAAAGCTTATTTTCAAGCTTTATAAAGAAGAATCAACTTCCATTGCTGATATTTTCATTGCTGGGCAGAGAGCTGACTAAAATAAAGTCCCACTGGAGCTTGAGCTGAAACATTTTTAAAGTCTACTTTAATCTTTTCAGGCTTGAAAGTCTAGACAAAATCAGGGAAGAACTGAGATAAAATGCAATGAACTACCTCACAAATGAGCTGGAGCAAAATGAAGAGGATGAGTGTGACCTGAAATTTAAGGATGTCTCCACACAGGTTGCATGTTCAGTTTTAGGCATTATGTGACCTGTGCTCCATTCATACAGATGTTTAAGGGGGGGGAGAATTGAATCGTCAGGTAAAAGACCCAAGAGGATGATACAGAGGCTCACTCTTCCACATACCTACTCTTGACAATATTTGTAGCCCAGTGTCCAGTCCTGAGGATGTTTCTAATAATGCAATATAATCCTAGCTGACTGAAAATGTATTAAAGCTCAAGAAAATTCCTGCATGCCAACATGATGGTGATGATACACACCAGCTGAACATCAAAGTACAGTATTGGTTATTCACCTGTGGCCTCATTCAAAGTAAGAAGGAAGTGTCTGTGGCTTTTGAGGCAGATGTGATGTAGAGTTCCAGTCCTCCTCAGAAAATCCTCTGTCTTCAATATGGGTCAAAAAGTCATTGTCGAGAATATTCAACCGCTATGGTTTCTTAATGATTTAGGGAAACTCCATGTAATAACACTTTAAAGTTTATTGGTGAGGTCAGTGATAGGATAGACTTTGAACTTTCAGGACGACACCAGGGAGAAAATAAGATCAGTAAAAAATACAAAAATTATTTTTTTTAATTAATTATACTTAAAAAAAAATCGCAGAGGGTACTTTATAGAAGTTCAGAGGTCTCTGGTAGTTTTTAAATAAAACAGAAGCATAGCAGGTCTGTTTTCTTGTAAGAATTTTGTATTTTAAACGGTGTTACTAGCCTTAAGCATTAAAAATATCATTAAACCTAGAAAAAGTAATAAAATTAAAAAGGAAGATTACTTCTCCCCCCACACTCTTCTCCCCTGCACACTCCCACCCAAGCTTGGAGAAGTAATTTTTGGTGTTTGTTTTTGTTTGTTTGTTTGTTTGATTGTTTTCAAAATGGCATTGTCTTATAAAGAAAAGCTCGGTACTATCAGGTATTGTAAGACATCAGTAGTTCATGCTCAAAGAGAAATTACCAAATTACCAGTTCTCGTTGTAGAATACTTGTCAGTGTTAACAAAGGAAAGAATTAGTGAGAAAGGTTGCTCCTTTAAGACAAGTTCTTCCAACCCATTTTTTTCCAATTTATTCTTTCTCCCCAAAGTAAGATCCACCAGTGATGGTTTCAGCCAGGGTACAACTTTTTAAATTAAATACAGCTTTCCTTTCACTGATCTCTTCTTCCAGCTCTACAGTTCAGTGCAGCCTGTTTGGGGAGGGGTGTCTAAGTAAGCAATTTCCCTGAGGATCACATTCAGTGCTGGCTCAAGACCCTATTTTTCTGAAGTTTACTGTATTTCCTCCTCAAACAAGAAGAAAGAGAAATTCTTCCTCAACTGTAGCAGAAAACCTCGATTCCTTCCTCCCTCTCTGGACTTCAGCTGAGGACTGCAGTAAGATCCAGTAATAGTGCAGGTTTTTAACCTCATCTTTCAGTAGGATGTAATGCTGGATGTGTATCTCCCATCCAGGGTGTGGTGAGCTTGTCAAAAGAGGTGGTAGCAGTGACTAGTCACGTCCTTGTCAATACAATCTTGTAGCAGAAATGGCAGGTCCTGGGAATGGGAGGCATATCTCCACTTTCAGAGAAATTCTATTGACATGTTATATGGAATGACTGCAGCTGTGACTGACTACACCATAACTCAGTGGTACATCCAGGACAGCAGTCATCTGGTGGAATGTGGTTGGGAAGAGGCCAGAAGTGGATGGATGAGCACAGGAACCATATAGTCTGCTAAAATTAGTGTCCAGCAAGATTTGGAATGTTCACTTTCGGGATGAATCATAGTCACAGCAAGCTGGAGGGATGGAAGATAGGCTGTTATAACTGCAAACAAAAGAATAAATAATGCGAAGGCTTTAGGAATGACATAAAAAGGAAATTTGTGAAATATGAATTAATGAGCTTACAATATGTATTTCAGCATATCTGTGTCTGGAAAATGAAGGTGAATACCAGAGGCAGGGAGGTAAACTAAACAATTGAAACAAAGCCTTTTTAAAGCTTCTGAAGGAGGGCATCATGGCACAGCCAAAGAGTACTATGATTGAGAGAGGCAGCTAACAGCATAGATGGGAGAAAGAGAGACTTATCAAGTCTAACTTAAAGTTTTCTATGAAAATAGTTATGTCGCAGTGTATGGTTTCTAATACAAGAGAAGGTGGACAGAAGACATCCTGTAATGACTGCATAAAAAAGGGCAGAACAATGATTCAGCATCTAATTCCTCATCCCTCTGCCTGATGTTTAAATATCCATCTGGAGGTGTGAGAAGTCTGGGACTGGGTGGGCTCCTCACAGCAGTTTGAACACATGCGAGTGGCACAGCACCCACTTACCCAGGACGTGAACCCTTCCCCTGGGACTGGAGCCACAAGAAGAAGTGAGGCAAGTTGGATCTGTGTCTGACAACAGTAAGTGAACAAAGGGATGGAGAGGTGGGATCTGCCAGAAAGGCAGGAGGACAGGGGGGTCTGGCCCATTCACAGCTTTTCTTCTGGGTTTGGGACTTCTGTTCTGCTGGATGAGTTGGTGGAGAATTGCAAGAAACTTCAGTTAGAAGCAGACTTTGGTTATCAGGCTGCGTTTAACACCTGGAGAGCAGTTAATGGGAATGCACTTCAGGGGAGACCAATCCTTCAAAACAGCCTCTGTGTCTGGATTTCTCCAGTTTGGTCTTTAATGTTTGCCTTCTGTCTAAGTATAATAGCCTCACATCTTCTCCCCCACGGGGCCTGTTACCCTGGCAAATTAACAATTTGTGGAAAAGAGTTTATAAACATATTCTTGAAAAACTTTGTGGTACATTTAGGGTGTGAACTAGATTGTTGACATCCTGGGTCCAGACTTGTTTTCTGCTGCCTGCTGTGGTCAGGATGCTGTTGGAGGCTGGGCATGGGAATGGGTACCTGAGAGGGCACGGAAAGGGATGTGGTGATGGTGGTTCCAGGGTGAGGGGGTGCAGCTTCAAGGGCTCGGGGCTGTGCAGAGCTGATGTGGCAGGTACCTGAGGGCAACTGAGGCAGGACTGAAGCATGAAGAGACAAATTCATGCTGCAGATGCATCAGGGAAAGATAAAGCATAAACCTGGTGCCAGCCAGCCTTTAACTGCCTCCTTTCAGGTATAAGAAGAGCTGAGCATTTCAGACCATAGGGTAAGGCTGATTATGGCTCTTGTTCCAAGAACCTCAGCCACAAGGGCTGAAGCCCAGCCCCATGGATGTTCCTGTTCACCCTCAGAGGCAGAGTTGGAACCTTGGTTTTCCAGGTCCCATTTCTCACATTTGTCACCCGTGTGCCTTGTGGGTATTAGACAATCAGGAGTTTGCATTTGTACCAGTTCTGTCCTCATGCATTACCATCTACTGCTGGGTTGTGAATTGCTCTCTAAAGAGAACACAGTTTCCCTTTAGCACCCTGCATAATATTTCAGACCACTGCCTTTACTTTAGCAGAACAGGGTCAGGAACATGGAAATCACCTGGATAAGTAAGTGCATGACCACGGCTTTGGTCACTACACCTGGTACCAGCCTGGAATATGGATAATTTCTTGGAAAATGGGAATTTGAAGATCAGGGATGTGATAAATACTGTGTTGGTCCTACATAGTTTCTGATCTCTGACAGAGGATTGCATGGTGATGGGTAGATGGCCAGTGACTCCAGTGGGCCACTGTGTGGGAAAAGGTATTTGCAAGGTGGGAACTGTAGATGCTCAGTGTGTTGGGTTTGGTGAAGTCTCTGACCACATGTGTATACCAGTCAGCAGCAGAGGAGCACCAGTCTTTTACCACAAAAGATGAACAGAAATTGATATGTTACATTATCTGCCATCAAATTGCCAATCCAATTAATGTGTTGCAATCAGGACAGGAGGCACAAACCCAGAAACTTCTCAAATATTTTTGCGCAAAAAAGAATTCAGAATTCCTGCCCTAGTAAAAGCCCCTGCTTTGCCCTGCATTAAAATTTGGTTTATTTTATAAGAAACTAAAGATTACAGTGGCCTTGAAGTTGTATTTGTGGGTTTTGTAGTGGTTAGGTAGTTCTCAGAAGAGGATACTGGAAAGTAAGAGACTTGCTGATGTCATTTTTATTTCACCACCAGTATATGAAAAAAAAAGCTGAGAGAGATGCTGGTGGCCCTATATAAGGTGCACTTCACCTCCTGCAGAGCACATCAAGAATCACAGCAAAGGTAAGGCTTGCAGCCTTTGTGCCTCTCTCACTTTGCCTTGTCCACTCTCCCTGATGCTAACACGGCTCTCTCTTGCCAGTGCTGAGTGCTGTAGCTGCAACCTGCTGGGACGGACGACTTTGGATCGTGAGCCATGGCCTCCCTGCAGACCTTGACCAAGAGCTTCTCAGGATGGGTTGTCTTCTGCTGCTGTTGTTGTCTCCCTCTTCTTCTCACCAGCCCTCTGCCTCCAAAGGGGGCAGGGGTGGCTCCTACCACCCATCATGCCTGCAGGCTCAGGAAGATCAACTTCCAGCAGCCCTACATCAGGAATCGCACCTACACCTTGGCTAAAATGGTACAGTAACCCACGTGTCCTTCATGACAGGATCTGAGGATCTCCTCCTCTTCCAATGCCTTGGCTTCTCACCTTCAGCATTCCTCTCTCTTTCTCATGCCTTTCTATAGAAAAAAAAAAAGTGTGTTTATTTGCAGTAAGGCAGAGCTTGGGCATGTGGAGTGGGTCTGTTGACCCCTGGTTGTGTAGCCGGGGGGAGCTGCTGTCTCTCTTCCTCCTCCTGCTCCCCAAGGGAAAGGCAGCCCCCTGGCACAGCACAGCTCCTTCTCTCAAGCGGCTGCTGCAAGACTGGGATAATCGTGAAACATGAGCTTAAATTCCATCGCCTGCCCAGTCCATATGGAGCTGGGCTTGCCCGTGAGTCCAGCCGTGGCTAGGCAGCTCCTCAGGCACCTCCGAGAGCTCTGCTTGGGCAGGTTTCTTGTTTGCTCTTACCACGGGCGGGTCCCCCTGGGCGCTCACCACCGGGTGCTGCAGCACCTCCCGGCAGCACCGTGGGCCTCCTGAGGTCGGCCACCTGCGGCATCTGGTGTGGTCACTGTAACCACTATGACATCTGATGTGTAAGAGGGGGGACAGGAATCCAGACTTCTGCTTATTTATTTTCCAGTGATGCCGACCTTGAATCTCACCCAGTTAAGGGCAGAAACAGACAAAATGTCCAAGCTTATTTACCTGTAACAGACTGTCTATGGTGCCCATTCCTTCATGTCACCTGAACTATTACTGATGAAAACCTTAGGGTTTATTATTAATTTTTAGGTAAGGTTCCCGTCTCCACATGACGTTTCCTTTTTTTCCTCTCAGGCCAGGGTCTCAGACCAGGACACGGACAACAGGCTCATTGGGCAGCAGCTCTATGTTAACATCAAGGTAAGACTTACACCAAGGAGGTTGCTCTTTGCATCCTTCTGCAGCACTTGTTGATCTCTTGCCATGATTTAATGTGACCTCTTACTTGCATACATAGGAAAACAACCGCTGCTACATGATGAAGAGGATTGTGGAGATTGTTGTGAAAGATGTCCTCCTCACCGGGGCCAAGGATCAGTACCCGTACGCTGAAGAGGTAGCACAGTTCTTGGCATCCCTGACCTCGGAGCTGAGCAGATGTGTGAGTAGCGTTGGGTGTCTTTCCCTCCTCTCAGTTCTGACTCTTGTTGCTCTTCCTGAATCTCAGAATGCTGCAAACAGTGGCAAAAGGCAGTGATAGGAAGGGAAACCTCAGAGCAGAGATATTGAACATGAGGTTGATAGAAAGGTGTGAAAGAGGAAAAAAAAACCCCAACACATTGTTGCGTACAGCTGCCAATGTTATGTCTGGATTTTTTCTTCTTTTAGAAATTCTCGGGACACAGAGAGCATATTGAAAAGAACCTGGAAGAAATGAAAAGCAAAATGCAACAGGTATATTTTTTTTTCCCAACAGTTAAAAAAAGCAATTCCAAATTGCAATCATCTAGCTGGATTAAGGCTGACCTAATTATGAAACAAAGTCTGGAGATTACTTAGGAGGTGAAGCCTGCAGGGGCATTAAAGAGAGGATTAGTGACGTTTCCACTTCCAGCCCTCCTTCCCTTGTCCTGTTAACTCTCTGTACATGTTCTGGCAACTTAAACCTTCAGAAGTCAGGTTGCAGGTAACTGTATATGCTAGACTAGATCTGAATGAACTAGTTTATCTCTTATGGTATAATGACTCTAATAGAACTACTTGAAAGAATAAGGAGAGTAAGTTCTTGATTCTTTTTCTGTAGCAAGCCTAATTTCAATTTTCTGAGAAATAATGACATGCTAAAACTTCCGTTCTGATCTTTTCTAGTTGGGAGAGAATGGAAAGACTAAAGCCATTGGAGAACTGGATTTACTGTTTGACTACATAGAAAATGCCTGTACTGATACCCCAAAGAAGGGAGGGAACAAGAAGAAAAACTGAAGGAATTTCAGGTCATGCTTGAAGAGATGGCTTTGAATAACTCTTGCTGTAACTCGAATTGATTAACTATTGCAGAAAAAAACCCCTCACCCATACATGCAGTATGTTTTTCACTTGTGCCAAAAATAGAAAACTAAGTGGGCACAGACAGGATGCATATTGCTGCCTTCTTTGAAAATGAAAACTCCAGGACAGTGTTTGTGCAGCTCCATTTCAACACAGGGCATTAGTTATTTTCAAAAGCATGCTCCTGTCCTCATCTTCATAGGAATAGGAACTGTTTCTGTATTTTATATGCTGCGACACCTATGAATCAGCTTTGGTGAAGGTAGGCTGTGGTACATAGCCAGGGTGTTTTGAGCCTTTTACTTGGAAAATTCTCTTGAATATGTTGCCCCCTTCTGACCTTTACCTGAAAAGTTGGTATTTCAGACCAATTTAGAAATAATTTTTGTCATTCATATTTAATGGTAACTTATTTTAAGGTAATAATTATACAGTACTTTTATTTATATATATTAATTGAAAAATATCCAAGGAAATGTATTTATGAAGCCGTACTAGAGGATTTTAAGTGAACTATGAAATTAAAACTGCTGTGTGATATTTATATGCAGATGGATTGTTTTAGAAATGCTTACTCTAATTTATTATAATAAATATTTTGGTCCTCAACTATTGCCATTCACAAAGTTTTTCTCTTTTACTCAGACACAAGGGAGATGACACATACTGTGTCTATGGGGCTGCTGGGCCAATGGCTGTATTCTTGTATCCAGAAAGGATGCAAGTTTGGTCTGGGGACATGCTTCTTCACCATAAGGCTGCAATTTTCAATTTTGTCAGACTTTGTTGTGGAGAGGTGGTGGGAAAAATAGCATCACTCATGAGAGTCATTGGTTTAATTCATTGAATCTGCCTCAGCACGCCGGTAGACAAGATCCCATCTTGAATAGCTGCTGGTGAAAAGTCCCAAACTGTCCCCCCTGTGTCAGATAAAAATGGTGACAAACAGGCAGCAATTGTTACTGAAAACTCAGTGCTATGTTCTCACTGCCCCATGGGCACACTGAGCACAAACGATGCTCTGCGGCATCAGGGATTTGAGATCAGTTCAGGAGAGAAGTGCTTGGTGCCTACTCTCGGTGCAAGCTCTCAAACAGAAAAAAGACTCCAAGGCACTGAAGAGCAGTTTAATCCATCATTATTGTGTCCTTTACCAATGTCCCTTGGGCAAAACCAGAGGATTTGCTCTGATGCAGCCAGGGACACTGGTGGCTGGACCAAAGGTAAAGAGGTGAAAACATGCAAATAGTGAGAAAACTAGAGGAAATATGTAACAGCAGATTGTCAGCAACTGGTGAAAACTTCTTGAGAAAGGCTTTACCATTTATTCATCACTGCAACAAGCATCCTGTTCACATCTGAAAAAACATGAAACACCATGAATGTCCTCAAGTAAAGGAATTGGGGCTGCAGTGAGGATGAGGGGCATGAAGCTGTGCAAGCACAGCATATCAGGGACATTCACATGCAAAAATACTTGCTAAAAGGATACCTAGAAGACACTCCATGAATAGATACTGTAATATGGGAAAAATGTTGGCAGGAAATCTACCTCGATCTACCTTGGTAGCTTCATCAATTAAATTCAAAGAGAAACCAATGTTAGTCCAAAAATAATTAGTCTTAACATGTCTTACATAAGCTGTTGAAGTTAGATGGCACTGAAATGGGATTAAACTAGCCCATGTTGTTCCTGAACCAGAGTGATTTTGAGATAAAAGTGTCCATCTGTACCTAATTTGAACAAGGTTTATGTGAACTGAAATTCTAACACTTCCTTGTAGGAACTCACATACTAGACTGGCATATGATCCATCTGGGTGAAGTATGTCTGTTACCTGTCAAACTAGATGCCATCAACATGGTTTACTTTGTTCCACACTCTCATTTGCATCTCACAACATATGAATCACATGCCTGTTCAAAGTTGAGGCAGAAATGACCCAACATGGACAGTCAACCTGGCTTTGGTACCACATTACACTGTTGGGCTTTAAACTTTTATTATATTCAGTAGGATGTTTATTTATTTTTTTCTTGTGGGCTAAACAATGATCTTGTCAAGAGCTGTTGTCTGACATCCTTTCTCTTATCACTTGAACTTGTGACAGCTGACAGCAAAGGGAGGGAGGTTAAGCACCAAATGGGGAATTCATCTCACTGAGCTCCGACAGACACCATCTATCCCCAAGATACACCCAACTCCCTTTACTAGTCAGTGGAGGGTAACAGGGATTATCTAGGTGTCATTTGTCTGATCTGCTTTAGAGGTTTATAAGGATTGTGCCTGTGGGCAGAATAACATGGCTTTTCCCTAAAAGTACTTGTTTTCTTCCTTGATTATAAATAGAGACTAGACCATAAACCACACACATGCTGTTCCTCGTTGTTATCATCTCTTCACAAATGGATAATTAACTTATTTCCTTCTTCTACTTCCTTTAGGCCTCTTTCACATTGTTCTTGTTGAGTGTGAAATCAACCTCGCAAGCTTTCCATGCTGGGGCTAAACCCAGATGAAACTCCATTTGTCCACAAAAATGTTAAAGCAAAGTCAACTATTTATTAACTTCTCCAACCTTGAAAACCACCAGCTGGAAGACTCTACCATGGAAACCTCATGAGCTGGATCCCTGGAAATGCCACACAGCAAATTTTGAAGAATTTCCTTCATATGTTTTCTTGCAGGGCACATGTGACTTGTGGGTGTGTGAAGGATGGTGCGTGGTGGTCAGTTTTGAACAGACGAAGGAAGTAGAAATCGGAGGAGGTTTTCCTTACAACCAGGGGTAATGTCCGGGACAAACAGTTACTGACCAAAAGAAAATAAAGATCTGCTTTCAGTCAGGCAAGCTGGGTTTCAACTCTGTCAATAGTTACAGCTCAAAAAAGGAAAATCATGCTGACATGTTTCATTTTGACAGTTTCTAAATAAAATATTTCAGTTTTACGCTTCAAACTAGTGTTTTGGTTTAGAATTTTGTGTACATTTTCTTTCAAAGGTTGAAAAGAGATTTGAAAGCAAAATGAGCTGTTTCATTTTGAGTTGTACAAGTGCTTTGGGCTGATCCAAAATGAATTTTTTTGGTTTAATTTTTCAGTTGGGTCACCAAAGAGAAACTTGTTCATATAATTCTAATTTCCGTTGCCCTATTTTCTTTTCCTCAACCCTTCTCTTTGTCATGGACTCTTTGTAATTCCCAGAGGTCCTTGACCTAGTGCTTTTAGGGAAGTCACTTGCTCCACATCCTTCATCAAGGACACCTCCATTGTAGAGGCTGGAGGACCTGATCCTGAGCAAAAATTGACAGAGCCACCCACTGCCAGATTTGTGTTTGTTGGCTGTTCCTCCCCTTTACATACATTAACATGAGAAGAACAGGCAGGTTCTTTTGCTACATAGATAATTATAAAACATTTAAACTATCTGTGAAACTTCATATTGTGAAGACAGAGGAACCCAAAGCATGAATAGAAGTTTCCACATCCTGCTGAGTAAGTATTGGTGACAGTTTAAGAAACGCCTCTTAAATACACTGCATGGAGTGTTACTCAGTTGTGAGATTGACATAATCAATGTCTGAATATATACTCCTTAAGTGACCTAGAATAATAGAAGGTCGGTATTTCCAATTTGCTGCTGGAAGTATATTCTAGAGAATGCAAAGAGCTAAAGATATCTTGATGGTAAACCAGTGGCATGGGATTATGTCAGCCTGTGATTGAGAGTACAATTAGCTAAACAATTAGCGGCTTTGAAGAAGGTATGGACTGCACTGAACAACAGTAAGTGCCTGATAACCTTTTCAGTCACAGCCATCATTGGCACCCAAAAAACGTTTGTAAAATTGGTGCAATCTGGAGCAGAACTGGCCCGCTAATGTGAAGCAGGATTGGCAGAGACATTACAGTAAATCTCAGGTTTATGAATGATGCTGCCAGGAAGAAGGTAATGACCATGGAAAGAAGGAAAACCTACAGTGCAGTTCTGTGGGGCCCAGGGCATTTTTGGCAGGCCGCTACCCAATGACACATTACATAAAATGAGGTATTTAGGATGGAAAATAATGCAACCTCTCAGGCGATCCAGACCAGGATTCTGTGCCATTCAAGAATTTGATAGGAAGTCTTATTTGGGTGAGGTCAATAATTACAAAATACAAATGATGCTAAGGCTGATGACATTTCTGGTGCTACACGTGCTTCTTAACACCTTTTTCTTGGTTTCTTGGTTAACATGCAGCTGCAGACCTGATCAGATGAACTGTATGAATTTCACCACTAGCAAAGGTGTTAAACAACTATGTAAATGAAAAGTTTTCTTCTGAAGTCTAGGAAATCACTCTCTCTGTATAACCTTTAAATTTCAAATCCCTCACCAAATTCAGAGATATCAATTGTTATAATTTCATCCGGAATTCACTGATGAATGGTTTGGGAAAGAAGATATTCCTACATCTTTCCTTCTCTAAGGAGAAATTTTTTAAAAATTATTTTGAGAAGAATTGTCTATTTATCTTCAGCAAATTAATTCATGAGACCCAAATGTAAACATTTTTTGAGTATGAAGGATTAAGGCACAACATTAAATATTTCCAAGATCATTTTTATCCTTTAGGATTGAATAAAGAGAAAGGGTAAAACTTCTAAAGTAAAAACATTTTCTGTTTTGTTCAGGGCAACATATATTGAAATATTTTGAAAAATTAGACTGAAAAATGTGTCTTTGACTAGCTGACTTGAAACTATTGTATCGTTTTTTCTGCAAGAACGAGTAAGGTTCTTCAATGGAAATTTTGGCTCTAGTTTCAAATGATTGAATACAAAATTATATTGTTTTCCAAAAACTGAAAAATTACACTGTTTTAAAGTTTATTTTGTCCTATGGCTTTCCAAAAGAGGATTGCTTCCAATGTCCACAGCACATTTAAGGAGTGGTGATGATGTTCAATAAGATGTGAAAGGAATGGGGCAATTGTGTCTGTGGTAAAGTCTAAAAGCTACGAATTGTGATGATTGACTTTCTGATTTGTCTTTTGCATTAGACCTTGACACATAAGAGTTCCCCAATAGATTAGCTCATCATATATCGGGTCCTGCTCCACACAAGATAGAAAGAAAACTTCTGTTGACTTCAGGATGTATAAGATCAGGCTTGTAGTTTGTGTCATGTAAATGTTTTCGTATTTTATCACAAAAAAATTGGATAACTGAGATTTTAGGTAGATTTAGGAATTAATCCCAGATTTAGGGATTATCAACTCTGATACTCATTTTTACTCTGTTGTCTCAAAAATGGAGAATACCTGTTTGTCAAGCAGAGAATTTAGCAAATTACATGATTATTTTGTAGGCATGATCATTGTTCCTGTATTTAACAGAGGTTCTATTAAGTTTAGGAAAGCATCTTGGTTTGATAGGACCCACGCGTGTCACAGAAAATGCAAGATATTTACTTGAACATGAAATGTCCTGTCTAACTTG